TAAATCCACTTGACTCCGCCTTTCCCACCGGAGTTCAACTCCACTAAGTCGCGTTACCCCGCGTAGTAGGGATTGGCTATGGATCGGGCCTTGTCGATCCAAAGATGTCAAAAAAAAAAAAAAAAAAAAAAAACATTAAACGGATCACCACCGCATAAAATAATAATATATTAGGATTGCCAACAAAGGAAGCAAAGTTTTAATTTTGACATAAAGGGCTCGAATTCAACTTTACATTAGATTCTTAATTTGACTTTAAGAGTTAAACTTTTTTTTTTTTTTGTAAACTTTAGGAGTTAAAGCTGATGGTGTAAACTTCAGAGGTTAAATTAAAGAGTTAAACTTTTTTTTTTTTTTTGCTTTTAGTCGGATGTCCCCGAAGGGCAACTTGAATATGTTTCTTTTTAACTTTCAACACTAAATCCTAATATGTAAGTTTGAGTGATGTTATATTGTCATTACATACGCTTTAAATTTATTTGATAGGTGTGGGTTCATCGATATAATATATTAATGATAGGGTTTGATTACTAACTTAACCCTAAATTTGCTGGCTTATAAGTTTTTTAGATTCTTTTACCTCCTTTGTCGGTGTCGGAATCAAGAGTGAGGAATATAAAGGATAATAAATTATCTGTGCTTTTTAGTTGTATAGTTAGAAAATCGTCGGTAACATTGTGATTTCAGCAGAAGTGATATATATATGATGCGACCGTGTTAGAGCAATTTGACCAGTTATACGTAATTGAGATAGATGCGCTTTGTCGTATAGAAGTAGTTAATGGTTTAGTTGGTTATTATGACTATGATTTGCACGTTAGAAATGTTTTGAAGGGTAAAGCTGCTATCATACATTATTAACATACAAAAATATGATGGATTCGTGGCTGGAATTTGTTTGAGAACTTGAATGTTTATCGATTATTTCGTTGGTCATCCTGATAAAATAATATTAATTATGTGTTACGTTTAGACCTGGCAACCGAAAAATCATGCCAACAATGTTATGATCATGATAAGCGTATATATTTCATGTGTTGATTTACTAAACATACATATTTTCTTCGTATTTAATTGATTAGCCAATTTATGAACAAATAATATTTACTTCTCCGTATAACTTTATGGATAAATCTACCGATAAATGAAATATAGAAATAGAACATATCTACTCTGTTTCATAGAACATACTTCTTATGCTTATACCAATAACCTAACAATAACCAGATTGACATTAATATTGTTCAGAATATACAATTATTTAATAAAAAGTTCAAATTATTCTTAGGGATAAATTTAATGCTTGTGACCGAAGCACTAGGCCCAAACAGAAGATTCTTTTGATTTTGCCTTCGATGCCACATGCAACTAATAAAGAGCTTTCACACTTTTCTTTCTATTTTTGATGAGCCATCAAAGGACACTAACTTTCTATACATTTTGGCTTTTTGCTTCGAGAACAACTATCTTTTTTATTTCTACAAAGTAAAACACATTTTTTCAGAGCATATCCTCTCCATAACTATATATTCCTAACACATACAAAAAGCAAAATTTTCGAATTTTCCCATTTGAAATTTGAAAATTATATATGTTGTTGATTTGATTTGTGTGGGTACGTACATCTATATGTACGTAGTTTTTTTTTTCTCTCCAGAAATTTTGTGTTCACTAACAATATTATATATCTCTGTGACTCTACACACTTATGTTAGAGATTTTCGTAAGTTCGTTTTCAATAATAAATTGTATTTTATAGAAAAGCGAACCTCAAATATGGTACAAATTAAAACATCAAACATTTTGTCAAACTATTGGATCTAAGACTTCAATTCAAAACAAGGTTTAGGATAATATCTTTGAGTCTATTTTTTTTTCGTTTCCATGTATACTAATATTATGAATCAGAATCATGTAGCTAGCAAAAATCATTCATATATATAAATTATAGATAGCTGTGTGTGAACAAGAAAAGGCGAAAGAAATGAGAGAAGGCCCCAATTGGTTGTCTCCTTGAAGTAAAAATCCCACGAAACAAAAGGCAAAATTGGTTCTTTCATTTTAATTAGTGTCATCATCAAATGTTTAAGTAGAGAAATTCTTACCACAACTTGTTTGCATTCGAGTTGAATTTCACTACCGTATTTGTGTTCTTAGTTGTTCCGTTTTTTTTAACAGAGCAACTTATAAGATTTTATGAACTCACGTTGTGGGTTAGAGAGAAGCAGACTTGAAGATAACGAAACACTATAAAACTGCAATATAAGTCTTTTGAAGTGAAATTTGGTTATATGCAGTTTAAAGAAGTCAAAGCTCAACGGACTCGAGATTCTGTCGGAAGCTTCCCTTTTTTTCTTAATTTGACATATATCTTCTTGGTGGTTCTGAAACTGACCTCTTAACCATTTTCTCTTGTCCCATTTTCTTACCTCCATTGATAAACCCTTAACATTATCAAAGACTAAATGTATGTTTACCTCTGGTAAAAACTAGATAGTTTTTATATGTTTTAAGAGAACTACGTCCTCATAACGCATCGAGTTACAACTTACAATATCACAAATATATTAGTACATGATGATGTGATATGTAATTAGATGTGGTGACCTATGTACTAATTTTTAGTAATTAGATTGAACGCCAATGAACTATTATCATTTGCATGTATTAGTGAATCTGTTTAGTTTGATTCATGGGTAGGTCCATTTTTCATATACATTATGGGAAAATACATTGTATAAGAACATGAAAGTTTGTTGGACATAATATAAAAGCTTCCACACGGACAAGAAGGAAGCTCTCGTCACATTTTCACCATAATTTGGTTCAACGTTCACTTTCATAGTTCCTCTGGGGATAGAGATAGTAACTGCATGATTCTCTATAGAATATAAAATGGCCCTTATAACAATATGATTCATTAATTATCTTAAGATTTTTATAAAACGAGCTCAGAATAACTTGTGTGAATTGATTTCAAATACATATGTGGGAAAAAGCTTTACCATTGTAGAGAGATTAAATACTCAGCAGACCCTGTGAAATTAAACTGTTGAGCCACTACACCATTAAAATTTTAAAATTGTAAATATTTTGAGTATATTAACTTTTAAAACCCATCGAAAATTCATGTCATAATAAAAAAAATCGTTCTACGCATATCATGATCAAATGTATCGATGACTGAAGTTACTCGGATAATTGATAGTCCACAAGAAATTATGTTCTATGATCAGATTCTATACTATAGTCCACGTACATATGATATTTCATTGTTCACATATGCTTAAAGCCTTAAACAGAAGTGTAGAACATATGTTAAAAGAACAATCCCATTAATTTCCTGGCTTTGACTAATCAAATCACAATACATTAACACAGCTATTTCCATGGTGCTACACAGTACACTTGACAATTCAGAGCCAATCAGAATTTTTTTTACTTATATCACATAATTAAGAATAGTCTTTAATTTTATAGTCTACAAATAATATGAAGCCAGAGGCCGAGTCAAACGTGAATAATTTTTTTTTTGTCAAAGTCAAATGTGAGTACTTTTAATTTTTTAAACAACTCCTTTTTTTCATTTTACTTCTTGGAATATATTCAAATCTGGAAGATGCCTTTTAAATTCATCTTTACGTTGAAAAACAAATTTGTAGAAAGTAGGAAAAAAAAGTAGGTGGAATATTTAATTTACTTGATGTAAAGAGATTGCTAAAACTGTGAAATCATAATTTGACTGATACGATTCCTTTTTGGAGTAATATTCACACTCCGTGTGAGCTTGGCGTTTACTAAAACTAGAAACTAATTGATCAGTCAATTTTATGAAAATGTCTCGCACCATATTCTAAAAGTAGGAATATGATGTGTCAATTTCCATTCATTTATTCCAGCTGACACCATCAAGCCTCCTGTCTACGCTTAGTGCATGAAAATAACAGTCACTGAACACGTATATTTTAATAAATGTCACGAAGCAAAACCATAACATTACTTTTTTGTTAATGATGTAAAATTAAAATATCAAATTTGATCAGCATGAAAATAGGTAATTTGATTGATATGAAAACTTGGACGGTCCAAATTCAATCAAGGGTATGGTTTGTCCCCATAGATCAAAGTTGACATTCTTCCAAATTAAGTGTCATGATTCGATACGGAATGAATCGGTATCAATACAAAAGAAAAAGATCTCAATGCATATATATAACATTCATATATTTTTTTGTTGCTAAAGTATATATATATATCAATCATATATACATGTAAATTGTAAAAATAAAATAAAAATCATGCCGTTTTACATATAATGTGGATAAAAAGGCTGACTTTTCATAAATGAGACCCTTCTACAAGTTTATTTATTTTATTACTCTTAAAGGAAACGAAGCCATTGAGCTGTGATGGCTCTGCAGTCAATGCACGAGAGATAATAATTTAATTTTATTACTTGTAATAAGCCTTGTTTTAAAAATCGCTAGGCGCTAGTCGGACGTTCGGTATAGACCTAGCGATTAATCGAAAAATCGGATTAAAATCGGGGATTAATCGGAGATTAGTTTTAGGGTTATTTTAATATTTTTAAAATATATTAATTCAATATTTTTTTCAAAATTACAGTAAAAACAAATTTTTATGATTTTTATTAAAATTTGAACACAAGTTATGTAAAACATCACAAACTCCCAATTCAAATGATTGAATAACAAAAATAAAATGTTTTTTTATACTTGCAATCTAAAAAATAATCGGGGTATGTAAGATTAGGCGGGAAATAATCGGATTAGACGGGAAATAATCGGATTAGGCGGAGAATAATCAGGTTACTGATTTTTTAGGGGATTAGTCATTAATCGATGCGGAGAGGGTGGGCCTAACGATTAAGCGGGGAGTAATCGGGGCTAGGCGGGGATTTTTAGAACAAGGGTAATAAGTAGTATCATTTTGTTTTTTCTTTCGTTAGTTTTTTTTTTTTTTTGACAATATTTTTCTTTCGTTACTTTTAAAAGTTACAATTTATAAAAAAGCATTTTTATGATGAATGGACCATCTCGTACATAGATTCTTCTCCAGTAGACTGATCTCTCTCTCTTTCTCTCGTGTTCTTATCTGTTTTCTTCTAATTTCTGATTCGAATATTTACTTTCATGTACTGAGACATGTCAGAAAAGATATTCAATTAATGAGCTGTAAAATCCCAAAAAAATTCAAATTTCTCAAAAAGAGAAACCATGCTCATAGGTTAATCAGTTTGCTTTTTGATCAAAAGAAAAGGCAAAACTTGATAGATTGGTAAGAAAATTACTACTTCACTTGTCCCATAAGCAACAACCTTCCTATATCTTGTAGGCATTTATAGGCTTTAAACCCCACAAGCTTCTTCTTTCTTCTTCTCCTCCTTCTTCTTCCTCTTCCTCTACTTCAAGCCTCTATATACATCATTGTAGCCCTCATCATCATCACATCATCATCATGCGAGTGAGAGAAACAAGAAAGGGTTTTGTATTTATATTAATGGTGATGATACATATAGTGAGCTGGGTTGGTGCAACAAGCAGGCCTATTGCTTCCAGTCACGTTTCTTTTCATCCAGGTTTAATTTCTTATTTCTTCAGAGTCTAATATATTAGACCATTACTATGTATATATCTATATATCGAAAGGCAGACATGTAGATTTGTAAGTATGACCAAAAGACTTCTCTGTTTAGTTTCTGTTTGCAAATAAGGTTAGGTTGAGTTCTTAATTGTTTATACTAATTTTATGAGCAAATTAATAACTTGTAAATAGTGGCTAAACCGTGGTCCCAAATATTTGCATGATTTAACGGTAAAAAAGAAACAAATTATGGTTTTAGAAATTACTGTTATAGATTAGTCAGTAAAAAGGTAGATGATAAATGTCTATGTACTCTTGGTTTATCTACTTACAGCAAAAGAAGCATAGGAAGTTGAATAAGTTGAATATGTTCTTATTTTATTGTCCAAATTCTGTTTTTTTTTTTTTTGCTATTGGGCCTTCAGAGATAACAAGCCCACAGGCTGCAGAACACAACTCTAAAAGGCCCATGTTGGTTCCCAATGAGAATAAAGAGATAAAAGAAGAAATGGAGAAAAGAAGAAGAATAGGATCAAAGCCACCAAGTTGTGATAAGAAATGCTATGGATGTGAGCCATGTGAAGCAATTCAAGTCCCTACCATTTCTTCAATTCCTCATCTATCTCCTCATTATGCTAATTATCAGCCAGAGGGTTGGAGATGCCATTGTGCTCCTTAATTAATCATTCTGAATTTTGTATTCCTTAACTAGACACAATTAACATATTATCTATTCACATGTATCTCTTTCCAAACTATTATCATCACTCATGAGTATTTGAGACTTGTGTAGTAAACTAAAACGTTGAAGTTATTTAAAATGAAAAACATCAATCAACTTATGACATACATACCATGTAAGCGTAATCGAACTCAAAAGAGTATTTTTCATAATGAAATAGGTTTTCTATTTTTTTGGGTAAGATTTGTATACTAAAAGGGTCCATTTAGTCCGCGTAGTTTTCGTTATTGGGCCGGGCCTGACATTTTTCCAGAGTGAATGATCCTATGATAGTATATTCGGTTAAGTGGTTCAACCAAAACCGGTTTCACTCGTGTACTTCTGTACGGAATAGTACATTATAATTTGTTGTTATACAATTCTCATAAAAGTTGTCGAAAATAAATTCTCTATAATTGTTGTGTGATCTTAATATTAATAAGCTTTTGCTTCTCGTAATTCTAAACTTGTGACCTATGTTGCATGGAAACGGAAACGGAAACGCGGAAACGAAACGTTTTGGAAACGGGAAACGAGTTTTTTCTAAAGTTAAAGAATGGAAACGTTTTGGAAACGTATATATATAACCAAACATAAAAGAATTTAAAAGAAAAAAATGTTTTAAACAACACAAATCCAAAACATAAACTATTAAATAGTTTAACTAAAATTCTAAAAAATTAAGATTAAAAGGCTCGAATTCAAATATTTAGACCAATATTTTCATTCTCATTTTCATTAGTTCCATCAAAGATTATATAAAACTGTTTCTAACTCTGGTTTGTCGAGAAAAAGATCTTAAAACTCGAATCTCCCAAAATTATTTATATGTATTATAAATCTTAATATTTTCATGCTATTTATTAAATATAAGTTTCCAAATTAAAAAGAAAAAATATTTGTAATGTTTCCAAAACGGAAACGTGAGTTTCCATCATGTTTCCAAACAGAGATTTTTAAGAAACGTGTTTCCGTAACGTTTCTTGGTGTTTCTGAGAGTTTCTGTTTCGGAAACGGGAAACGGACCTTGGAGAGAGTTTCCATGCAACATAGCTTGTGACAAACAAAGAAAATAAAACAAACCATATTACATATATCATTGTGCCAGGTAACAAGAAAAAAAACATTATGCCAACAAATAATAATACCATATGTTTGTCAAATCAAATCAGTAATTTAATAATTAGACAGTTTAATTTTGATTTCGTTTGTTTTAACTAAAAAAACACTAATAATAAGAAAAAAATAGAGAAAATCGCTAATTACTCATTAAAAAATATAAAAATAGGAAGCTGAAGAGAACGGAAATAGCTGCGTTGGGTTTGAGAGTTGCAGTCGGAGAGAGTGTGGAAGAGAGAGAGAGATCGAGATTTTATTTTCCTTTGATCTTTCTTCTCCAAAGAGAGAGATAGAGAAAAAGCGAGCCTTTCTTCTTCTTCTTCCTCAATTCTCATCATCTATTGAATTTTGGCCATCGCCATCATCAGCTTTTCGTTTTTGTTTGATCTCCGTTGGAATCGGTGTTTGCGCGATTTTCTTGATGAACGAGCCTCCAGATTCTAGGTTATTCTCGCTTTCTCTTGATTTCTGCCCCTTTTGTTGAGAAATTGTTCATCGGATTTTTGGAATTTGCGTCACATTCTAGGGATTTTACGTTGTCTTGTGATGCAAGTTTTTGGGTTTTCTGTGGAATGTTGGTGGTTTTGATGAGACGAATCTTTAACGGAGTCGTCGATTTCATATGTTTTTGTGATCGTTTATTGATTTTTTTTATTCTGCGGACTCAATTGTTTGTGGTGATGGAACATTTATGTCAATTAAGCTGAAATCTTTTCTTGATTTTGTTTGATTTCTTACAGTGGAGACGGGAGATGATCTCACACGTTGGTAAACAAGAACAGCTACAATCGCTCTCTTGCGTGCGTTGAGCTGAAACTTTTGAGATAATGGGGCGTCGCAGAATAAGATCAAGGATCCGGAAAAGCCATTTTTACACCTTTAGATGTCTCAGACCAAAAACCCTAGAAGATCAAGGACCCCATATCATTAATGGACCAGGATACACCAGAATTGTTCATTGTAACCAACCTCATTTACACCTCGCTAAAGTCCTTAGGTACACCTCAAACTATGTGTCCACCACTAGGTATAACCTCATCACTTTCTTGCCCAAATGCTTGTATGAGCAATTCCACCGTGTTGCCAATTTCTACTTCCTCGTTGCTGCTATTCTCTCTGTGTTTCCTCTCTCCCCATTCAACAAATGGAGTATGATCGCTCCTTTGATTTTTGTGGTCGGGCTTAGTATGGGTAAAGAGGCGTTAGAGGATTGGCGCCGGTTTATGCAGGATGTGAAGGTGAATTCCAGGAAAGCCACTGTTCACAGAGGGGATGGTGATTTTGGTCGTAGGAAGTGGAAGAAGTTACGTGTAGGGGATGTAGTCAAGGTTGAAAAGGATCAATTTTTCCCTGCTGATTTGCTCTTACTGTCATCTAGTTATGAGGATGGGATCTGTTATGTTGAGACGATGAACTTAGATGGCGAAACTAACTTGAAAGTAAAGAGATGTTTGGATGTTACCTTGCCTCTGGAACGGGATGATACTTTCCAGAGTTTCTCCGGAACTATCAAATGTGAAGATCCCAATCCTAACCTCTATACCTTTGTTGGAAATCTTGAATATGACGGTCAGGTTTATCCCCTTGATCCTAGCCAGATTCTCTTGAGAGACTCAAAGCTCAGGAACACGTCTTATGTCTATGGGGTGGTGATATTTACTGGCCATGACACAAAAGTCATGCAGAATTCAACAAAATCCCCTTCAAAGAGAAGCAGAATTGAGAAGAGAATGGACTACATTATATATACTCTCTTTGCCCTCCTTGTGCTCGTCTCCTTCATCAGCTCACTGGGTTTTGCAGTTATGACAAAGGTGCATATGGGAGATTGGTGGTACTTACGACCAGACAAGCCTGAGCGCTTAACAAATCCAAGAAATCCTTTTCACGCTTGGGTCGTCCATCTGATCACTGCTGTCTTGCTTTATGGGTACCTGATTCCCATCTCATTGTATGTTTCCATCGAGCTCGTAAAAGTTTTGCAGGCAACTTTCATTAACCAAGACTTGCAGATGTATGATAGCGAGAGTGGGACTCCAGCTCAAGCACGCACATCGAATTTGAATGAAGAGCTGGGACAAGTTGACACAATCCTTTCCGATAAAACAGGAACTTTGACATGTAACCAGATGGATTTTCTGAAATGCTCCATTGCGGGTACTTCTTATGGTGTCCGAGCCAGTGAAGTAGAACTAGCTGCTGCAAAACAAATGGCGATAGATCTCGATGAGGAGCAAGGTGAGGAAGTGACCCACCTTCCAAGGACTAGAGGAAGGATGCATGGGTATGCTAAAATGCCCAGCAAGACATCATCAGATATTGAGTTGGAGACTGTAATCACTGCTATTGACGAAGGGGATCAGACACAGTCCACTGGTATCAAGGGGTTTAGTTTTGAGGATCAACGTCTCATGGGTGGAAACTGGTTAAATGAACCTAATTCAGATGACATTTTGATGTTTCTGCGTATACTGGCGGTTTGTCACACTGCTATTCCCGAGGTGGACGAAGATACTGGAAAGTGTACTTATGAAGCAGAGTCTCCTGATGAAGTTGCTTTCCTTGTTGCCGCTGGAGAGTTTGGTTTTGAGTTTACCAAAAGAACTCAATCAAGTGTGTTTATCAGTGAACGACATTCAGGCCAACCAGTTGAAAGGTGAGACTGTAACTGCAAATCTTTCACTTGTTTCTATCGGCCCTAGTGAACATATATCTAACTACTTGCCCGATATTTTACAGAGAATATAAGGTTTTAAATGTATTGGACTTCACTAGCAAAAGAAAAAGAATGTCTGTTATCGTCCGTGATGAAAAAGGGCAGATTCTTCTACTCTGTAAAGGTGCTGACAGGTTGGCCTCATAACTTGAAGCAGTTTCATAAAGTGTCTCAGTTCTTCTAAAGTAAATATCAATGCGTTATCTTAAACTTTTGCAGCATAATATTTGAACGATTATCCAAGAATGGAAAAAATTATCTGGAAGCCACTTCAAAGCATTTGAATGGATATGGTGAAGCTGGTTTACGCACATTGGCGCTCAGTTATAGAAAGCTAGATGAGACCGAGTATTCGATATGGAACAGTGAATTTCACAAAGCCAAAACTTCAGTCGGAGCTGACAGAGATGAAATGCTCGAAAAGGTATCTGATATGATGGAGAAGGAATTGATTCTTGTCGGTGCTACTGCAGTGGAAGACAAACTGCAGAAAGGGGTATGCATTGGAAGTTTGTTTGGGATTACTACCAAGACGCTAATTTTTGAAATTTCATTTCAGCTTATTATTTATTGTTCGTTTCAGGTGCCTCAATGCATAGATAAACTTGCCCAAGCTGGTCTTAAGATATGGGTTTTGACAGGAGATAAGATGGAGACAGCGATTAACATAGGGTGTGTTGTTCTTCTATGTTGCTGATAATACCACGACCCCAAATCTTGGGAATTTTAAAACAGATAGTAAGTGGACTAAGTTCTTTGTTTTCTTCAAATGCAGATATGCCTGCAGTTTGCTGAGACAGGGTATGAAGCAGATATACATAGCACTAAGAACTGAAGAGGGATCATCCCAAGACCCAGAAGCTGTATGTATTAGGCTGATACTATAAAAACCTACATTACTGTTATACAAACTTATTTTTATGTGATAACTTGTTTGTTGTTGTTAATGGCCAGGCTGCAAGAGAGAGCATTTTGATGCAAATCATAAATGCTTCACAGATGATCAAACTAGAGAAGGATCCACATGCAGCGTTTGCTTTGATCATTGATGGAAAGACACTTACATATGCTTTGGAGGATGATATCAAGTATCAGTTTCTTGCCCTGGCAGTTGACTGTGCTTCAGTGATATGTTGTCGTGTCTCTCCCAAGCAGAAAGCGCTTGTAAGATTGATACACCACAAAACCTAGTTATATCTTCCTATTATTGATGGGAATCACTTATTTCTATCTCGGTTTTCTAGGTAACAAGACTAGCAAAAGAAGGAACAGGAAAGACAACCTTGGCAATTGGTGATGGTGCAAATGATGTTGGAATGATTCAAGAGGCCGATATAGGTATAGGCATCAGTGGCGTGGAAGGCATGCAGGTGATCAAACTTGTTTTCAATATAATGCGATGTTTGCATTGGTCTGTTTCTGATTGCACATACATTTCTATTTATTTGTTTGCAGGCTGTAATGGCGAGCGACTTCTCCATAGCCCAATTTCGGTTTCTAGAGAGACTACTTGTTGTCCATGGGCACTGGTGCTACAAAAGAATAGCCCAGATGGTATATATCTGTGATTTATAATTATATACAGACAGGTGCATCATTGCCCATCGAACAACACAACCTGACCTTGATTCATATTCTTTTCTGCCAGATCTGTTACTTCTTCTACAAGAACATAACATTTGGTCTGACTCTCTTCTACTTTGAGGCTTTCACCGGGTTTTCTGGTCAAGCCATATACAACGACTCCTACTTGTTGCTGTTCAACGTTATTCTCACCTCTCTCCCTGTCATCGCCCTCGGAGTTTTCGAGCAAGACGTGTCTTCAGAAGTCTGCTTACAGGTTTACTCCTCTATGCTCAGTTAAATCTCTCCAATCTGAACCCTAAAACCCTTCAACTAATCATAACTTTATCTCTCTTTCTAGTTCCCTGCACTGTACCAGCAAGGCCCCAAGAACCTGTTCTTTGACTGGTACAGAATCCTCGGGTGGATGGGAAATGGAGTCTATGCATCCGTAGTCATCTTTGCCCTGAACATTGGCATCTTCCATGTCCAATCATTCTGTTCTGGTGGCCAAACAGCAGACATGGACGCAATGGGAACCGCAATGTTCACTTGCATCATCTGGGCAGTGAACGTACAGATAGCGTTAACCATGAGCCATTTCACATGGATCCAACACGTCTTGATCTGGGGAAGTATCGTCACCTGGTACATCTTCCTTGCCCTCTTTGGCATGTTACCTCCAAAAGTCTCAGGAAACATCTTCCACATGCTCTCCGAAACCCTAGCACCTGCACCAATCTTCTGGCTTACCTCGCTGCTGGTCATAGCCGCCACAACACTTCCTTACTTGGCTCACATTTCGTTCCAGAGATCGTTAAACCCTCTGGACCATCACATCATTCAAGAGATCAAGCATTTCAGAATCGACGTCCAGGACGAACGTATGTGGACGAGGGAAAGATCAAAGGCTAGAGAGAAGACCAAGATTGGAGTCACAGCTCGTGTGGATGCCAAGATCCGCCAGCTGAGAGGGAGGCTCCAAAGAAAACACTCTATTTTGAGTGTTATGAGCGGTATGAGTGGCGTCTCAGCATCGACTGATACAACCTCCACCACACAACATAGTTGAAGAACTCATCCAGTAAGTTTTCTCTTTATCGAGGAGGAAGCAGAACACAGAGAATTGGGATTGAAGGTAATAGGAGACAAAGAAAGGAACAGAGAATGTTGTATTGTGTGAGTTTGTGTGTGTATACTAAAGAAAAAGAAAAGAAAGAAAGAATTTGATTAGAGATTCTTATAAATAGGTTCTTTTTTTGGGAAGAAAGAATTGTTTTTGATTAATTGTAATTGAAGAAGTATGGTCATATTCACAGGTAGATATGAAAACTGATTTCATTCATTATCTGTCTCATTCAAGAATCAAAGACTCTATATATAACCTTGATATAGTTGCAAGAGAAAAGAAAATATCAGTTTGTGTTTCCTGTATTTGTGACAGATATTTAACTCTCATAGCATGAAGAAGAGTTCTTTAAGTAAAAATTCAGAGAAAATAAATAAAAATATATCAAGAAATACCGATAATGTCTTTGAACCACTTGAAGCTCTTACGAATGGATCCCTTCATCTTCTGTTCAACGGAATAAACTTTGTAGCCAGCGACTCTTCTCTTCCTCCGCGATTCTGGATCGCTGAAACTCCAGCTTCTAGACGCCGCACGATCCGCGTTTGGAACGCTTTTGCTTTTCTTTATCTTTAACTGGTAATCGTTCGTTTGGCTCTGATCGCCGGCTGAATCGTCGAAGCTCCCGCTGTAACCTTTCACTGCGTCTCGGCGGTTCCCAGCAGATGGCGGTTCCATTTCTTTGTAATAATTCTCCATGGCTGATTTTGAGAGTTTTGGTCTGAACGAAGAAGAGTCGTCGTCGTCGTCTTTCTGTTTTTAATGGATTGAATATTGATACTCTTTAAAATAAAGTTTTATAAAAGGAAATTAAAAAATATATATATTTATTTTCCAAATAATTAAAGGTATCTTTTTGGAAATTAATTTACAATTGTCATGTGGACCTACTTATGTTTTTTTCCCCTCTTTTTTTTCTTCAAAAGAATTAAGTAGTTATTCAACTTGGAACTTATATTAGAAAGAAAATTAATACGTAAAATTGGTATGAATCACTAGACTTTTCATGTTTTGTTTCTTTTTCTTATGATTTATGATGGTTAGGTTTTGTGTGGATGTGATGCTTTGTGATGCTTTCCCAACTATTTCAAATAGGCACGTGGATTGTCCAAACCAGTAAATTTATCACAGGAAACTACTTTAATTAAAATGTCCAATAAAATTAATTAATAAATGTTCTTTTCGTGTTTTCGTGAAGAAACTTTGCAGAACTTCAGACCAATAATTACACTTTGAAATTATAAAAGTGAGAAACCCTTGTCGGTGGTATAGGCTTGACTCGGAATCATTGAATCAACATCTAGAAAATTTGAATATACTTCTTTTCAGAAAAAGAAAATGTAGTACATAAAACTTTTAGAAATACTATTTATTTTCCACAAGGCTAGAAATAAAAGAAGAAGATGCATGAAAAACGAAAGATAAAGCGAGTTCGTCACCGTGTCGGAACAGACTTTTCATCAGTAGATTTGTCGTTAATGTATCGGGTGAGAGAGTGTATGCCAATGCATCCTTAATTGATGGCATGGAAAAGATCTAACGTCGACATTAAAGTTATTTACGAGCCAAACCCATTTTGAGTTTTATAACCCGTTTGATACTATTAAACCCATTTTGAGTTGACATTACATATGAAAAAAAGTTGCAAAACCAAACTTTTATGGAAAGATTTGATTGATACAAAAATCAAAGACAAACGACAAAGCCGAAAATAAAAATAGAGAAGAAATAAATACTCCATATGATTTAAAAATAAAAATAAAAATGTTCAGAAAGAGAGATATGTTCGTAGATGATGGGAGAGAGGAGAGAAAAACAACTAAGAAAGGTATCGCTGATAAGAGGAGATAGAGAGAGACGACGGGGTCAAAATCAGATCAAAGAGTGCCTTGCAAAACAAGAAAACCTTTCTTCTCCGGTGATACTAGTACGGCAGCAAACACAGCAACGGACTTCTTTTCTCCCTTCACAGCAGATCGGCCACGTTCGAAGGCAGCTCTTCGACAACCACGTTATAGAACTTCTGAATATCAAACAGCATCCTCTCATCATCGTGGGTCACAAAATTGATCGCCACACCCTTTCTCCCGAACCTTCCACTTCTTCCGATACGGTGGAGGTAGTTCTCTGGCTGAGTTGGGAGATCGAAGTTGATAACCAGAGAGACTTGTTGGACATCAATACCACGAGCCAAGAGGTCAGTGGTGATGAGAACACGGGAGGAACCAGACCTGAACTCTCTCATGATGATGTCTCTGGTGTTCTGGTCCATGTCTCCGTGAGTTGCTGAGACTGTGTGGTCACGGCTTCTCATTTTGTCTGTGAGCCAATCAACCTTACGCCTGGTGTTAACGAAGATGACACTCTGAGTGATGGCCAGAGTCTCGTAGAGATCACAGAGTGTCTCGAGCTTCCACTCTTCTTTCTCGACATTGACATAGAACTGCTTGATACCTTCAAGGGTAAGCTCATCACGCTTCACCAAGATTCTCACTGGCTTGCTCATGAACTTCCTTGTGATCTCAAGAGCTTCTGGTGGCATTGTTGCGGAGAACACACCAACTTGGATCTTTGGTGGGAGAAGCTGGAATATGTCATAGATCTGAAAAAATCACAGAAACCAGTGAGATTAGAGTTTAACCACAAGGAGAATGGAATTAACACACTTAAGAAATATAGGCAAACCTGGTCCTTGAAACCACGGGAGAGCATTTCATCAGCTTCATCAAGAACAAACATCTTGATGTTGTCAGCACGGAGAGACTGCCTCTTCAACATGTCAAAGACACGTCCTGGAGTTCCAACAACAACATGGACACCAGCTTGGAGGATACGCTGATCCTCACGGACACTGGTTCCACCAACACAGGCGTGAACCTTGACACCAAGGTAATCACCGAGGGCCCTCATGACCTTCTCAATTTGCTGAGCAAGCTCTCTAGTTGGAGCTAGAACCAAAGCCTGACACTGGACAAGGGAGAAGTCCAGCTGCTGCAAGACACCAGAGCAGAAAGTCGCTGTTTTCCCAGTACCAGACTGGGCCTGCTGAATCACATCAAGACCTTTGCAAAAGGGGACAATTCCTCTTTGCTGAATAGCAGAAGGCTTCTCAAAACCTAAGAAACACATAAGAACACATGAGATTATGTTTTAAAGTAAGACATAAATCACAAAAGATAGCTACTAGAGTTCTCCTACACATACCATAAGCATAAATACCCCTGAGAAGGTTCTCTTGCAGACCCATGGCATCAAAGCTCTCATGAACCTCATCATAAGATGTGAAGAACTCATCTTGTCCCTCAAGTCTGTATCCATACAAGACAATTAACAACTAGAGCATGCACAAAGAACACACTCAAGAAAGAAAAGGTGATGAAAACAGAAGAAAAGACTCACACTTCATTCAGTTTCTGATCAAACTGACGTGCATCAAACTGTGTGCCTTCTGGTGCAGATCCCGCCATGACTACATAAACAGAACAAAAACAATCAGACATCATAACGAAAGAAGAGTGAAAACATCGATTTGATTTCGTTAATAATATGATTGCCAAGAAGGAATGTGACAAGAAAGCCAAACTCGAAGTCCATAAAGAGAGGAAAACAAGCATTAATATCTGTCTCAGATGATGTGCGGAGAAAATGTATAAAGGCACATATGGTTATCCATTATTTATAGACACCACTCAACCTATTTCTCCAAATTCAACCAGACAAAACACAGTGAGTGTTGAGATCATAAAAAACAGTCTTAAGTCTTCGAAATCGAACCTAGCGGTACCAAAATCTTGTACAAACACATCAACAAATCTACAGATTCTTAAGATGGGTAGATCCTAAGATAAATAATCGTCATCATCAGCAGCTCAGAATCTAATAAAGAGAACAAAAATCAGGGTAACGATAAACACGATCTAGAAGTAACGAAAAATTAAAACTTTCAAACCAACTCAACAAAGTTCGAACCAAATCTATCGGAAAACGCAAAAAAACGAATCAGAACCATCAAAAAGTAAAGAGACAAATCATGAATCGAAAAAGTTACAAAGAGAGAACAGATTCGATGCAAACCTGGAGCAAAGTTGAGAGAGATTGGTAAGCGAAAGTAAAGGGCTTTTTTCAGGGAGCTTGAATCTCCCAAACTCGGATCTGAACCGCGTTGAGAGAGAGAGAGATAAAAGAGAAGAGCGAAGATTGTGAGAGACTGATAGGAAAATCCGAAAGAGGCTGAGAGGAAACGCGTTACTTGTTTATATACTCCGTCTTTAGGGTTTTCTCCTTTGGAAATCTTCTCCTTTTCTTTTTTGTATTTCCGGTTTTACCCCTTTATTTCCTTTCTTTTTACTCTTTTGGCTCGGACAAGGATTTGTAACACTTAGCTCATGTCTTAACTTCGTTTTGGCAAAAATAAAAAATATCTAGTGGGAAATTAGGAACAGAAATTCTTCATTATTCTGTGCCTAGCAAATAAAAGATTCTTCACTATTTTATTTTTTCTTTTCCAAAGCTTTCTTCCTCCTGCAACTTTTGATGCTTTTTGACGTTATAACAAAGCATTTTTCCCAATCACAAAGTGAATATTACAAAAATAAAGTGAACGATAAACAAAGTATTATCTGAAAATAGCTTAACTTATTTAATACATCTATTTCTCTATGTTGAATGTTTAATCAGGTAATTGTTCCACATCCAATGCATTTACAAGTGATATCAAGAATCCTTGAAACGAAGCAAAACACACTGAGTAATAAGAAGGTGACCAATATGATGAAGCATCAAGTTGCTATCTTCATCGTCATCATTGATGAACCGATTAACAGTTTGATCAGAAACTGAATGAAGTGTGTCTTTCTTTTGTTCTGTTGGAAGCATTGAAGATTCAGATGGGCCAAGAATTAGGCCCATTAACAAAGTTTGACTAATCCCCGCCGTTCATTAGATATCTACGTAATCACTATCGCACGCACCTGCTGATCTCTGTCTTTTGGTGAGACGCAAAAGCTCAGAGAATATAGTAATAGGGCCCAATCTAAATAACAGAGACGTGGAAAAAAAAGAAAGGAACAAACCGAAATTTGTGAGAGGAAGAAGCTTTAATTAGCCGGTTTAATTACTTTTATATCGGTTTATGGTACAACAATTTGTTGGTACATGTAAGGCAGCATTTTGCCATTTCTGAAAAACCTAATCAAAAATATCAAACACAAAATTATCATCATCAAATCCCAGCTTCTTCCAAGTGATCCTTCACTCTCTAGGCTGCGATTTGGCGTTCTTCGTCTCTTGGTGAGTTCTAGATCGAATCCTATCTTCCATCTACAGATTTACTGTTTCAAAATTGGATTGAGTACAAGTCAAATTATCGAATTATCGATCTCGATCTCTGATATTTTTTGCTGACTCTGAAAATTCTAGCCAAGGGAAAAACCCTAACAACATTCTCACCATTTTTTATTTTCATTCGCAGCTCCGATTGCACAGCAATGGCTTCTCGTATCATCAATCATTCCAAAAAGGTTTCTCTTTCTCAAATTTTCATTTTTTTGTATGGCTTTACTACCATTTTTGATCTTTTTAGTTCTTTGATCTTTGTAAAACTGAGTTTATGCATTCGTTTTTATGTGATTTGCTCTGCCAATCAAATTTTTTTTCTGAAATGAGTTTCGTGTTCCGGTTTTGACTTGATCTAATTATGCATTAAGTCACGCAAATTTGGTATTTTAATTTATTTAATCATGGGCAATTCTGCAGTTGCCATTGAGAGCTTTAGTGACCTCCTTGTGATTAATGTTAGTAGCTTCGCTTTATGATTGGCAATTCTGGTATCAGCTATATGTTCATTTTATTAGTACAAGAAGACTCTACTTTTTACAGCAGAGTAATTGTATGTTGTTTAAATATATTTGTAACACTATTTTGACGGTTCTTGTGTGTTTCTGACCAGTTGAAACATGTTTCTGCCTTACTGCGGCGTGACCATGCTGTGGCAGTCCGCTGTTTCTCCAACAGTACCCAGCCCTCTCTCATTGGAAAAGAAGGTAATTCAGATAGCTTTTACTGTCCTCGTCATTGCTATCCTTACAGTTCATTTTATATAGGAATGTATCCAGCTGTGTAGTTGTTTCTTTTATTTGATATGGTAACAAGCACCCCACAGTACTCGGGGCTGAATAGTTCAAGTTTGACTTTCACATCGTTTTCCCTCGATCTCTGTATCATGAAGAACATAATAATAACGTTCCTGCTTTAAATAATTGAAAGTTGATAGGTTTTGAGTATATGTTATGCTTCTCGCTTAAGCATTTTCTTTATTTTTTTTGGTCTTCAGATATCTTCAAGGCCCGCCTGAATTATTCCTCTGTAGAGAGAATTTCAAAATGTGTTACTGGCAATGTAAGTCCCTGCTGCTCAGTTTCCTTTCTCGTCTATGCTTAGTAGCATTATCGTCTGTGTTTTTTTGGCCGTAATGTCATTAGCTGCATTATATAGGTAACAATGCTTAGTGGTATTTCAACAACGAGCACGAAACTAAGCAGCACAATGGCAGGACCAAAACTATTTAAAGAACTTATAAGGTATGTAATCCATATACCAATGTGCATACTTCTTGTTACCTTCCTATATGAATACTTCTATCCTAACTGTAAGCTTCTTTTCTTGCTTCAGCTCCCAGATGCGATCAGTGAGAGGATTTTCATCCAGTTCAGGTAGTTAGTTCTTCATCCAGAGTTTATTTTTAACTCTTGTAACTTCCAGCTTGCTCTTATAGACATCTTCTTTGACTTAAATTATAATGTGTAGAGAAAACCAGCTTTCTGATACTATTTTTCTCAGATCATATTTCAACCTATTTCTAGAAAAAGGTCATGCCTTGTATATGCTAGCTATGTAGCTGGTTAACGACTTATAAGGGGTTTATCACAGAATTTCTATTATGACAATTTTGTGTACCGCATAACAAGATTGTGCAACTGTGTTAAATATTAATGGTAACTGGAATAACTAGCATCTGACTTGGTTATTGTGCCTTTTGCGGCCATCATATTTCTGTCTCTGTGTATATGCATTCCTAAATGGTTTGTTTTACCGAGAACTTTTAAAAATTTGTTTCAGATCTTCCTCCTCATCAAGAGATTGGAATGCCTTCTCTTTCGCCAACAATGACTGAGGCATGTACCTCTGAGTACCTCCTTACTATAATTAACATTGTTTATTTTTTTATCATTCTATTAAAGATATCTGTTGAAACTTCAGGGTAACATTGCCAGGTGGCTGAAGAAAGAGGGTGATAAAGTTGCTCCTGGTGAAGTGCTTTGTGAAGTTGAAACTGTAATGTTAAATCTAGATTGAATCTCTTCTTGTTTTGATTCTTATGCCAAGAATATAACACTAATCTCAATCTAAATATTTTAGGACAAAGCAACAGTCGAAATGGAATGCATGGAAGAGGGTTTTCTCGCCAAGATAGTAAAGGAGGAGGGGGCAAAAGAAATTCAAGTTGGGGAGGTATGCGAGTTTCTGGCTTTTGAAGACTTGTTAATTATATAATGGGTTCTCATAAAGTACTTGACTGTGAGCCCTACGCTCCCTTTAGTTGAAGATCAATGAATATGCAATAAAAATGACAAAGATCTTTATCTTCATTTGTAGAATCACATAAAAATGGTCCCTTTTTTTTTGTCCAACTAGGTGATTGCTATCACAGTTGAAGATGAAGAGGATATTCAAAAGTTTAAAGATTACACACCCTCATCCGGTACTGGTCCCGCTGCGCCTGAAGCAAAACCAGCTCCTTCCCCACCAAAGGAAGAGAAGGTAGAGAAGCCAGCCAGTGCTCCTGAAGCCAAGATATCTAAGCCAAGCTCGGCTCCTTCAGAAGATCGTATTTTTGCCAGTCCTCTTGCAAGAAAGTTGGCTGAAGATAATAATGTTAGTTTCCACACGAAAAATATTAGTAAAGCTCATGTTTGATCTCCATGCTCTAATTTTTTTTCTACTTTTCCTTCAAAAACATTAGGTACCTCTCTCAAGCATTAAAGGCACAGGTCCTGAAGGACGGATAGTGAAGGCTGATGTCGAAGATTTCTTAGGTATCATAAATCCTTGGCTCTTCCCTCTCCTTACATTTTCCCCGGTCTCTCTTGCATCTCTTTACAGAATTTACGTCATCCTTGTCTCCTAATACATCTTCCTATGGTACAGCTTCAGGCAGTAAAGAAACTACTGCCAGACCTTCCAAGCAAGTGGATTCTAAGGTTCCAGCTCTGGACTATGTTGACATACCTCACACTCAGATACGAAAGGTAAATACCTATACAACCTTATATCTTGATTGCTTGTGGTATTTCTAGATTACCTCGACCATATATCTCTCTGTTTTGTACTATAATCCAAGAATTTCGAAATTTGTTAATTGTAAAAATTTGACAGGTCACAGCCTCACGTTTGGCATTCTCAAAGCAAACTATTCCTCACTACTACTTGACCGTGGATACATGTGTTGACAAAATGATGGGGTAAGTATTAAATTTCAGATAATGTATTTTGATTAGGTCAGTGGATGCTAGACACAGCTATTTTTATACGCAGTCTTAGGAGTCAACTCAATTCATTTCAAGAGGCTTCCGGTGGGAAACGGATATCTGTGAATGATCTTGTTATTAAGGTGCATTGTACTTCTTTTCTTGCAAGTCTAAATTAAATCTCCTTATCTGTTCTCCATTATGAAACCTTTTCTTTTTCGAAATTGCAGGCTGCTGCACTGGCTCTTCGAAAAGTTCCTCAGTGCAATAGTTCATGGACAGACGAATACATCCGCCAGTAAGTACAGATTCTGCTTCAGAGGTTCATGGAAACTTTGCAAACCATATAGTTTCTTGGTTCTTATTTTTCTCTTTTTATGTACAGATTTAAAAATGTGAACATCAATGTCGCTGTACAAACAGAAAATGGGCTCTACGTTCCTGTGGTCAAGGTGAGGGAGCTCTCAATACAGTTATTAACCTTCCTCTGCAGGAACTTGATATTTCTGAAAAACTCAAGTTATCAAATTGCTTGATTCCAGGACGCGGATAAGAAAGGACTGTCCGCAATAGGAGAAGAGGTGCGATTCTTGGCTCAAAAAGCAAAAGAAAATAGCTTGAAGCCGGAAGATTATGAGGTTAGTCTAGAATTCGGTCAATGCTCGCTAATAATGCTCTGCTCCGAAAGCAAATCACCTCAAACTGTTTCTTCTGACAGGGAGGAACATTCACAGTCTCCAACCTGGGAGGACCATTTGGCATCAAACAGTTCTGTGCCGTCATCAATCCACCTCAAGCCGCCATTCTAGCAATCGGATCCGGTAAGCCCTTAGCATACTCATCCACTTTATCCATTGACGTTTCTTCCCCGTAACTTATTGTAGTGTTGGTGTCTGAATCACAAAATAGCTGAAAAGAGAGTTGTTCCCGGTGCTGGTCCTGACCAATACAACGTTGCTTCATACATGTCTGTAACACTAAGCTGTGACCACCGTGTAATAGATGGTACAGAATCCGCCTCTCATTCCTACACCATTATTTAATCAGCATCTCATCGAAAACGTCTAACAAGTCATCTTCCTGTGCAGGTGCAATTGGAGCCGAGTGGCTGAAAGCATTCAAGGGATACATCGAGACCCCAGAATCTATGTTGCTGTAAAATGCAGACGCACACACACATCAAAGCTAAACTCATAAGAGTCTTCTGACCTCAAATTTCTTTGCCACAACATTTTCACCGGATTTGATCCCTTTAGCACTAGGCAATGGCCTTTAAAGTTGCGTGTTTTGATATTCTTTATATCATTGAGTTGACATATTTTTGTCTCAAAATAAAATCAGGAATCCAACAATTTTTCTGTGAACTGGATTTTTGGCTTAATGCTTGTTCATCATGGGTTGGCAAAATAAAACGCATTTACTTATTTTGTTAATCACCTCCAATAAAATACCTCTTTCTTCAAAATAAAATGCCTATTAGTTCACCATCATGGACTTAGAACAGTTTGCTTCCTAAAATGCCAAAACATCATATCATTAAACCAAAGAGACAGAAGTCTCCAAATACTAATAAGAAAAATTATGTCAACAAATCGTCAAAAGTAATATCATTAAACCAAAGAAACAGATGTCTATAAACTACCAGTAAATATGTAAAGATAGAACAAAATCTTCTCCATCACTTTCGTGTCTTCCGCCTCCGGTTAACCTCCGGGAAATTGAGAGGAGTCGGTAAGGTCGCAACCCAAGTTGAATTCTGCTTCACGAATTTGCAGCCAAGCTGTTGAAAATGTTTCCTCAGCTCAACTGTGCTTATCCTCAGATCTTTTGCTATGTCTTCTGGATCGGTCTTGAAATTATCCACATGAAGGGATAACACAAGAACGTAGCTTATCAGAAGGTTGGCCTTGTCAACAGGTATCCTCTCTGATTCAGAATCCTTGAACATGCTCTGAAATTTCCTACGGAAGATGTCTGGCATCTTGTGGTTTTTAGCGGAATCGAAACCATTCATTGAGTTTCTGTCCTTGAACTTAACCAGATGGGTGAGAAGCGTTAACGCACCAGAGACCGTCTGCTTTTTCATATCGTCCTGCATATACAACAAAATGACAGACATACATAAAGAATTTTCTGAGCAGTAGATAAATATGACAATCAAATTGACTATCAACAAGTTCAGAATCTCTTTGATTAGAGCAAACAAATAGCAAACGGCGAAACTGGTGCAAGCCAACATGATATTTCGCGTGTCAGAGTTACCATGTATATGTAAACTTCCAAGAAATAGTCAAAATTTTACCTTGATATCACGCAACTTGAACAATCTGTTGCGAACAAATACAGGGTAAGCATCAGTTGCTGCTTCAGTTCCCTGTTCCAGAAGCCAGTAAATATCTTCAAGGAAACTCCACTCGCCCTTTTCAATGATCTTTTCTAAGGGATAAGCTTCCTTTGCTGTCGTCGCAGCGGCATCATAAGGAGGAATGTTGCGTGCAACAGTAGAACTGGTGCTTTCAAGAGCAGCTGTGTTAACATCTAACTCACCAAGTTTCCCGTCAAGGAACTTCTGAGTCTCGGCATCATCTCCCATATTTAAGGCACGCTTCTTCTTGTCCTGCATAGAGACACACATTCCCATTTAGACATATAACAATCCTCTCAAATATAATCAGTACATATACTTAGTATTGCATCCCATATAGGTACTAATGAGATGCAAGCAAGGGTCTACACTAATGCTATGAATATTACAGCTTATATGTGCAATGATACCAATAAGACAGATACTGTAGGAAACAAGTCTACGCATCGAAAAGATGTAACATACCCGAGTAACAGCCTTCTTTGTATTATAACGGTCGCGTTCTCCTGTGGTAAGTTTGCCAAGTTCTTCAACAACCGCACTTCCTGAAGCTTCTTCCTCAACTGTTTCTTGAGCTTTAACTTTAGGCTCCAATCTGATTATCTGCAAGTAAAAACCCAAACCTTCAAATCTACATTCTTATATAACACAAACCAAACTCAAACTCTCAAAAATCATTTCTTCTCTATTCAAAACATTCCCACTAATTCAAACCACCAAAATCGAAACGAGGTAACAGAAGAAATACCTTATTGTGAGCAACAGGAAGAATCCTCAAAGTCTTAGCCTCTCTATTGAAAACACCAACTCTATAGGTATTCGTCTGCATAGCAGCTTGCTCGCCGGTGTAATTAGTTCCGACGAACTCAACTCTTGCGCCTGGAGGACTAACCACAACCTGAATCCTCTTCTTCGAATCATCCTTATGCTTATAAACAGTAACTTTGGGAGTTTCATGAACTCTCTTGCCTGTTTCTGGATCTACCTTACAAGGATCGTATCCTGTAGAGAAGTAGGCGACGATCGGAGAGATTCTATCGGGTCTCTCGGAGACTTGAGTGACTTTGAGAGTAATTCTCTTGTCTTCTTCGTTTTGATCCTCTGTTTCCGATGCTATTTCTTTGCCTTTCCTTTGCTTCTTTTCTAGTTGTTGTGGTGTATTGAACTCTTCTTCTTCCTCGTTTCTATGCTCATTCTTGTCTTCGCCTTCCATGGTTGTTGAGCTTTTGGATTCGTTTAGTCTATCGAAGAAGCAGCGACAATGTAGAGAAGATATGTTGTGTACTGGGAAATCTCACTAAATGCTAAAACCCTAATTTGGGTGAGTATGTTTCGGAAAATTACAAAACACCGACGCCTTGTTATTTGTCCGATTCTATAAAAAATCTTTACATGGTTTTGTTTATGACCCTAAACTTTTAATTTGTTTAAATAGATCCCCACCGTTATAATGACGTCTACGAACTACGGTAACCCTGGCATTTTCTCTTAGCAAAAACGACACGTAGTTCATCCGAAGGAAAAAAACTACACGATGTTTGGGAAGCTCCTAATTTACTTGATTTAATGCATTTTGTTCATCACAAAACAACAAAATTTTAAGCTATGGCCACATAACCTTTAAAAAAAAAAAAAAAAAAAATTAGTAATGGATTCTAATTTTTTTCAACCATTCCATCATTTCTAGACCAAGTTTGTATGCCGGAACTAATGTAACATTTTGATCTAATAAGTAGACCAAATTTTTAATTCGTTTTTTAAAATTAAATATACAGATATTTCAGGTTAAATGTGTATCGGACAGGTTTCAGAAGTAGCTTCACTATCAACAAGCATTACTATCAGATCGGACTGGTTATTCTTGGATTAGGGGTTCTTTAACACTTTGTCTTTTCTTTCGATTACAAAAATTTGTGACGTCCGAATTAGCTAGCGTGGAATTTGGTGTACTTGGATACATATTTTTTTATTTGTCGTCAAACCTTACCAAGATACATATACAATAAAAAAATCGAGTTTCTCTCTCTCAAATTTTTCAGAGAGAGAAACTCTTATGTTTTGCCGTCCGATTGTTAAATCGGTTTCAGTCCGACAACCACCGGCTTCTTATGCGATGGTTGGGTCGTCTTTTGTTTCCGTCATCTGCCGTTTCCTTTTTGCGGCGATGGACGGCTTGATTCCGGTCTGCGTCGGCCCCTTTGGTGACGTCATGACTGGCTTTCGCCTGAGTACAAGTTGTACAATGCATCGACGTCTTTCGCTCCATCTTCTTCACTGTTTCTCGTGTATCGTTAAACCTCCGATGTTGTTTCTTTCCAAATTGGTGCTGGAATAAATTTTCAGTTTTGGTTTAAAGCATCACGGGATGCTTTTGAAGAGGAGAAAATTCAGGCATGCTACCAGCGGCAGCCCAGACTCCAACCTCTACTTGCTAGCAGTGCCGGCCCGGTAAATTTAGGTGTCCTAAACAAAATTAAAACCTATAAAAAAAAATCTTTTAAATCAGATTTTTACCATTAAAAAGAATGTTGTAGTCGTCTCTAAAAGTCCACAATATTTTTAAAAAGTCTTACAAAAATTATTGTATATAAGAAAATGGGAAAATTGGAAATAAAGGATATCTACTTAAAAATTTGTCCATATATACCTTTTTTGTGAGATTGTCAGTTTGGACGATTTTACCCCTACACCCTAATTTAAATGTTTTTTTAAAAAAATAATCAAAAAAACATGTAGATATACAAGAGTAGAGGTGATTTGAAGTGAAATTTTTTAGATTTGGTTTTTAAAAAGTTGATTTTTTGATAGATAAAGTTTTATCTAATTTTGGTAGGACACATTTTCTAGAGTTCTGCGAAACTCAGAGTGTGTATTCTGCATTTTTGTACATGTTCTACTTATTTCAGACTAGATTTCTGTTCTGAGAATTTTAGAAATCCAAAAATCATAAATCTAAAATATTTAGAACATGCATTCTACGTTTTTCTCTATGTTCTAAATATTTTAGAATAGACGTTTTAATAATTTCTACATCGTCTGCCATCGTTAGAAATTGTAATCTGAGTTTAGAATGTAAATTCTACGGTACTGCAGATTTGATTTTCTGAAATTTTTAGAATTCTCTAAATATAGAAAGTAAATCTTCAGAAAAGGAAACAAAATATTTTTTTTAGATTACGATTTAAATGAATATTAATTGTTTAGATTACGATCTAAAGATGTAGAAGTTGTTGTCTACGGTTTTTAGACTAAGATTAAAACCTAAAACGTTTTCTAAACTCTAAGCTAAGCCACCACTTTCGATTTTTTTGCTATACCCTACGTTTTTCCTTCAAATTTTTTCTTTTTCCTTCAACGATTTGTGTCTTAGTTTCTCGATGTATATCTACTTAAGGAGTGATGTGTGAAGATTGTATGACAAGAAGGAGTGGAGATCTCAATATGAACCTTTTTATCTTTTGATATAAGTTTGCAATAATAAATGTTATGTATGAAAAAAATAATAATAATAAAAGAAATAATTGTTATGCATGTTATGCAACAATTTAAATGCATTGTTAAGTTTAACTTAATGTCCTACACGAGATTATGAGCTTAGTTACCAAGCTGACAATTGTCAAATTTGAAGTATAGTTTAATTTTTAAAGTATTTTACTGAGATCCTAATTTTCTATAAAGAAATCGATTAATTGCAAAACATAATTTTATGAAGATATATTAGTATGTTCCATGTTATCACAAACCTAAAGCGGTTTATATAGTCTGCTTTATATGTCCGTTACAACCAACAAAGATTTAATCTATATAAAATAAGCGATAAAAATACCTTTTATTAATGTAGGGCTAATACGTGTATTTATGATTATTTATCAGGTAATGAGGTGGTCTGCTACGAGAGTCCACGTCCACCCTCGGGAATTCACCGTATTGTGTTGGTATTGTTTCGGCAACTCGGAAGACAAACGGTTTATGCATCCGGGGTGCACCAATAGTTCAACACTCATGAGTTTGCTGAGATCTACAATCTAGGTCTCCCTGTGGCTGCATCTTTCTTCAATTGCCAGAGGGAGAATGGCTGTGGAGGAAGAAGAACGTAGATGCCTACGTACTTACTTTAACTAATAATCCATTTGTATATTACAATGTTTCCAAATGAGATACTTAAGCATCTACATAAGAAAAATATATAAGAAAACCAAAAATGGATTTAAATAAAATGAGGGTAAATTTGGGTTTTGAATTGTGAAAAAACCTATATGACCAATCTAAAAAAAAAAGGGATATATGGACAAATTTTGTAGTAGATATCCTTTATATCCAATTTTCCCTAAGAAAATTTAACAAATTTTTAGGTAAAAAGGCCCAAATTTTGAGGCCCTAATCGGTGGCTTCGGTAGTTTGCCCTCTGCGCTGGCCCTGCTTGCTAGCATAGACGTTTAATTTCAATATGCTTGTCCGTGAAGGAGTTTCCTTTGACGGACTTTGTTGGTGCTAAGGTGTCGGCTTAGAAGGTGATGGAGTATCTACGGCGGCGGATACCGGAGATACGACTAGCCAAAAAATTCTCCGGTGACCATTCTCCCATCGTGGACGAGAACAACACGTGTCGTCTTGGTTATGGCACTTTGTGGGCTGCTTACATGTGTTTCTTTATGAAACACGTGTTTTGCTTAGTTATTAAGTTTTTATACGTTTGTTTGATATTTGTTGTAGTTTTAAGTAAGTTGGTGCGTAATAGTACATCAGTTGCTAAGTCAGTTCATACCGAGAGGAGCAACTAGTGACTTTGTTCTTCGAGTTTTGGGATATCTGTGGTTGAGGCTTTTTCAGAAGTTTCGGGTTGGCTGGATTGTACTCATAGCTTCGTCAGGTCGAGCGTTAAGTATAAAGTGTTTCTGGGACGAGGGTTAAGTGAGAGATTCGGTTTTGCTCTTTTTAGTATTTTAATTTTTATTGAAATTTCTGTTGGCCTCTTTCTGTAAATTGATCTGTTTCTTTCGTGGTTGCTAAAATCATTAATAAAGAACCATCTCCAATCGTTAGCTTTATTTTTTGCTCTAAATTTGGAGTGCTCTAAACATAGAGCAGAGGTTTGCTCCAATAGTTGGTTCTATTTTTTGCTCTAAAATAAATATTCTATTTTAATATTTTGTTTTAATTATTCATATAGTTCTTTATTTTCAAAGTTTACAAATTTTATCCACTTAGTTTATTTTGACATAAATATCTAATAAAACCATATTATTAAAATTTAAATTTTATTACAACACATAAATGGAAGATCAAAAGATCAATATATTTTTATTTAAACATCATCATTAGTGTACTTCTCCCACAAATGATCTACTAAGGCATTTCGAAGTGAAAAATGAGCTTCTTTGTCTTTGATTTGTTGATATCGAGCAAGAAATTCTTGAAATCGAGTACTTTCATCATCCGCTATTTCGACATTTGGAGGTGGATCGTCTCTTTCAACTTCAATTGGTGCATTAAGATCACGCTCATCTTCGATTATCATGTTTAATTTTGTTTATGTACTTTTAGTTTATCATTTGTGTTTGCATTATTTTCTAATTTAATATATGTTATTGTTATATTTTTAAATTTCAATTTATTTAGTAACTATGATTTTAATATAAAATTATGTATGTATATAATTTAGTTATATAATTTTGTTTAGGTATAAAATGATACTATTTGAAAATTGAAGGAGTACTTTGTAAATAAAAAAGTTGTGCTCTAAAAATAGAGGGATGAATGAAACAATACTATTCATCTCTCTATTTTTAGAGCAAGATATAGAGCACCATTGGAGTGATTTTGTTCCAAATATAGAGTTTGGAGCATGATATAGAGCACCATTGGAGATGCTATAGGCTTAGTTTCTTAGACCATACATAGTAGGATAATTTTTAGAGGGGTGTGAGTAATAAAAAAATCAAAAATAAAGGAATAGTGCGTTTGGAGACTGAATCCGGGTGTGTGATAACACTCGGGTGTTATCTCACGTGTCTTCTTGTGAGTGGTTGCGATGAATAAAGACAGCAGCTTTAAGCTTGACAACGATTTCGGTTAATCTTTTTCTTTATTTCTAAACTTAACCTCTTACATTATTTTAATAATAAATTACCACTAACACACATTCTTCCACTTGTCTCATTGTGTATGCCCTTATGTATTATTTAATGAATCTCCAAAATGGTTTTTCCATTGTTGGAATGCTGTAGTACGAAAGTATATATCAATAAAAAAAAACACATTTTGGAAAAAAAAAATACATATACAATCTGAAGCAACAAAACAAATGATGCGTAATATTTTATTTTATTTTGTTACCCACCTCAGTCCTCACCCAGATACATATTTAAGCTGACGTATCAATCATTTAGTATAATATTATATGAGTAACATATGGATTTTTAATTTTTCTTTTAAGAAGAATAATCGTGGTGCGATCGAGCACAGTTTTTTTTGTTAAAGGGTTTTCATAAATAAAAATCGAGCACAGTTTTCTTATGCCACTTAAAACTTTTATAATAGTTGAGCATAAGAGAGCCTAGTGGATACATGAAAATTGATCTATACAATCGATTAATTAACATGGCCAGTATATATATTTAACCACTAGATCGTTACATTGGTAGTAGTTTAATCTACTATTATGTTAAAAAAGAATATTTGTATTGCACTATTATTTCACTGTTCCAAAATTAACGAATGTTCAACTTTTGGTATGTTGAATGGTATGCAACGACTGTTCTTTATCCGCTATATATCTTTAACTCTTTTTTTTTTATCGCAAGTTGTATAATTCATTAGACTCAATGACAGATGTAGTACTATGAAAGATAAGACCGTTGAACCAAAAGTCAAATTTGAGGTATGTTAATGTATTGTGATTCTACTAAGAATTAATTACGGATTTTGCCCTTTTTTATAATGGTATTTATGGATTTTGTCTTTTTTGAATAATTTATAGATTTTGCCCTTTTTTAGGCTCCAAAAATATGATTTAACATGCGTTTCATTCGTTATATTTGGGTTTAGTCAGTTCTAGTTGTTCTTAGGGTTTAGTATTTGGTATAATGTACGTATTTTTGCAAAAAAAATCATAAATACGTACATTTTTAAGTGTTAGAAAATGGCAAAATCCATAAATTATTCAAAAAAGGGCAAAATCCATAAACGCCATTATAAAAAAGGGCAAAATCCGTAATAATCTCATTCTACTAAACCTAAAAACCTAGAATTCTATATTTAATTACACACGACGACGCTTCTTCCCTAATGTCGCTATCGTTGACTTGATCAGAATCATATAGTGAAGATGCAACCTTATCATATAGTAGTTCTCAAAGAGAAGGCCATTTTAATCCCATGATCAACAAATATAGTTGTTCAAAATAGACTTTCGCCAGAAATTTCCATCTCCTTTCCATAAAAACAACTCTCCTTCCTTTTTTCCCTTTATAATCTCGACAAAGAGAGAAGTTATATATAAAATTTTAAGAAGTAAAACTCTTTTGTAAAACTTTCATCGTTTAAAATCATGGAGATCAACGGTCAAGAAGGTCATCGACACGAAGAATCATCATCAGAGTGGTTCGTAAAGTATCTAAAACATCAAGGCGATTGGTTAGAGAAAACTAGAGGGAATCTTATGGTTACAGCTACGGTTATAGCTGGTATGAGCTTTCAAGTTATGGTTAATCCTCCTGGTGGCGTATGGCAAAGTGACAATTGTTCTTTCGGAAATCAAACCGGAACCGCACCGGTTTGTAAAGGAAAAGCAGGAACTGCGGTATTGGAGTATGAGAGTTCAAAGCGTATAGCCTATCTTGGGATGGTTATTAGCAGTACAGTGTCGTTTTCTGCCTCAATGAGTCTCATTCTCCTTGTCATCAGCGGTATACGACTAAGGTACCAATAAATAAATTATATGTGCAAATTCATATAACACGGCTGCTTAGTATGTAAATTATAATAACTTGTTTGTATGTTTTTTTTTTTTTTTAAGAACTTGTTAATTGTATGTTAAGTCTGGAATTTTAATGTAACTTTTGTGTTTGACAAGATATAACGGAAAAGCGAGGACTAAAAATGGTCATGTAAATTGAGATTTAGGTGTTGACTTTTGGTTTAAGTATACCAACTATGTCGGCACAATAGTGCCCAATGGTTGACTAAAAACTAATTCAACAAAACTGGTCTGATTGGTAAAATACTAACTCGATGGCTATTTGATTAGAATTTAAAACTATGAAAAGTTGATGACATAGATCATAGTTATCTAATGGAGTTTTCGTACACTCAGAATAATTAGTGAGAATTGTTTGGTTTTAGGATAAATTAAAAGACACTTGTATACGTATATGATGACATAATTCTATATATAGGAACCGAATGATAATGGCGATCCTCGTAACATTTATGGTAGTGGCGGTTCTTTGTATATCGGCGGCGTTCTTCTTCACCATCGTGCTGGTTCAGTCCGATGATCAGATAATTCGTGATATACTACTGATATATGTGGGATTTTGGGTCATATTTCCTGTTTTAATACTTTTAATCCAACTTGTTCGATTTATAGGTTGGCTTATTTGTTTCATGTGTTGTTGTTGTTGTCAACGTCGGCGACGGTCCCCTCAACGGTTGTTGCCACTGGCTCCATCTCCGGCCAATTAAGAAGAGAAGGAACCCGTGGTTCGAACCCACGTATAAATTTGGGAATTGGTGTAAGCTAAGGAAAGTCGTAAACTCGTACTAGAATAAAAGTCTCCCAAGGTCATTGTTATACCGTTTATTAACTGTGTGGGTAAATTGTACTTTTTTAAAAATTCATTTGATTAATAAATAATAATTGTATGTGCGAATTATGTGAATCGTGGCAATTGTGTGGGTTTTTATTGTTATAAAGTTGAATAATTTTTTTTTTTGGTAAGAATATAAAGTTGAATAATAATGGGAAAATTGGATATATAAGATATCTACTAAAATTTTTGTCCAAATATACCTTATTTTGGTAAATTAGTCAAATAGGTTTTTAAAAAAATCAAAACCCAACTTTACCATCATTTTCTCTCAAAATTAATTCAAAATTGATTTAAAAAATAAAACTTCCTAATTTATTTACAAAAATTAAATAGAAATCTAAAAAGTCAAAACCGGTTATAATTACGGGCTCGTGTCTCCGGTTCTTGGTTTATTGGCTTACAATTCAAACCCGTATGGTGTGGCTGTGAATCCTTATGAGATTAACATAATGGGCACGGAACAAAACTCTATTTTGATCAAGTTCTTGAGTAGCGTGGCAAGTGGGAGCCCTAAACCTAACACGAAGAACTCATCTCTCTTGTGTGCTTGCTTCACAAGTAACGGTAACATAACGTTTAGGGAGCAAGTTTCAGCCTCCGTTTTCTTGGGAACAAGACAAGGGCATTATGTGCTGGTGATTAGAGCTCATGATAGTAGTGGTCGTGGTAGTACGTTGGTAACGCCGCCGTCATCTCCGGCGGTGAATGACGGTGGCGGAGGGAGATTAGCGGTTGGGAGTGTAATTGGGTCAATGATTGGAGCGTTTCTGTTACGGTTATTGGTGGTGGCGATGGTAGTGAAAGGGGAGAAGAAAACGATGAGAGAGGAGATGGAGAGGAGAGCTTATGAAGAAGAAGCACTTCCGGTTTCAATGGTGGGTCATGTTAGAGCTAATCCTAATGCTTCAAGAACAAGAACGGTTCCAAGATTTGACAATACTAGGTACAGTAAGTCAGTAACAAGTATCAACAATCGTAAATTAGGTAGATCGTCCTTCTTGATATAATATTTTCCATTTTTAGTGTTAATTGAACCTCTCTTTTTCTATTTATGTTGGATTGTAAGTTTTAAGATTTCATTATTTAGGAGATAATATGTGGAATTAACTGTATTGAAAATGTTGTAACACAGTTTAAGTTGTTTTGGGCTAGTTGGTTAATTACATATATTTTGAAATCGAAAGTGATGGCCAGGCCCGGCCCATCCATAAAGCAGGCAAAGCATCTGCTTTAGGTCATAAAATATAATAAAGTTTTAGGGCCACATTACAAAGAAACTTGCTTAGCCTAGTGGTTATGTAGTTAATAAGTTAGTGTCAAGTCTTGAGTTCGAATCTCGTCTTCTACAGTTTTTGTTTAAATTTTTAACAATAGTTTTAAATAAAAAATTATATTATTGAAATATGCTTGAGGCCCCAAATATCCAAGGACCGGGCCTGGTGATGGCTTAGCTTAGGGTTTAGAAACGTTTTGGTTTTAACTTTTTCTAAAAAATATAGATAACGATTTCTGAATTATGTAGATCATAATCTAAACAATTAATATCCATTTAAAACGTAATCTATAATAAATATTTACTTTCCTTTTCTGAAAATTTACTTTCTATATTTAGAAAATTCTAAAATTTTCAGAAAACCAAATCTACAATATAGTAGAATTTACATTCTAAAAGAAAATTACAAATTCTAACGATGGCACAAGATGTAGTAATTAGTAGAATAGGTATTCAAAAAGATTTAGAACATAGAGTAGAGCGTAGAATGCATGTTCTAAATATTTTAGATATATGATTTTCGGACTTCTAAAATTTTTAGAACAGAAAACTAGTCTAAAATTTGTAGAACATGTATAAAAATGTAGAATACACACTCTGACTTTCGCAAAACTCTAGAAAACATGTTCTAACAAAATTAGAAGAAACTTTATCTATCAAAAAATCAATTTTTTTCCAATCAAATCTAAAAATTTTCACTTCAAATCATCTCTACTTTTGTATATCTACCTATTCTTGTGATTAATTATTTTTAAAAATGCTTAAAATAGGGTGTAGGGGTAGTTTGGTCCAAAGTGACAATTTCACCAAAAAGGTATATATGGACAAAAATTTTAGTAGATATCCTTTTTTTCCAATTTCCCCAATAATTAATGTGTGAGTTTGTATGATTTTTTTTTTGTCATTTGGATTTATTATTTATTGTAAATTATGAGAACTGTTACATAGACGATTCTACAACGGACAATTTCTTCTGATTTTTATTAGATTCACACCTCTTTCACCTCCTTCTTCATGCTCATCTCCTTCACCTCGTTCTTCTTGGACACTTCTTTCTCTGTGTAGAATCCTGGCGAACGGCTATAATTGTACATCACTGGAGATCTCCTGCACACTTGTTTTCAATAATCTGTAAATTTATTAATAAATCGCAGTATCTGGGATACGAACCCCAGACCTCTGGTGTAGAAGCATTAATGAACTTTTGGTCAACCAATGGATCAAAGGAGCTTCCACAAGTTCTGGAGTTTGTATGGTTTTTCTTTTGAATATCTGAAAATTCAAGCGCGAATGCTCTACATCTTTTAGAGGTGGGATCCACACCAGGTTAAATTCATTTCTTTTGGAGAAGAGATCCCGCCCAACAAACGTCGAACCCAATATCTCTACCTGCAAAATTTATTACTGAGCCAACACAATGTTGGTTTTTTGTTTACTAAATTCATGTGATTAATAATTGTGTGTTCGAATAATGTGGATCGTGGCAATATCTCCTTGTGAATATTGGTCCTGATCGTGGTAATAATAATTGTTTTTTCTTTCTTTTGAATGAAACCAATAGTTATTTTCACCATGATCTTAGCCCAAATTTCCCGTAATTCACTCTAACATATAAATACAAACCCAAAAAAGAACAAAGAAAACAAACTAGAATGCAGTGCACACTCGAATGAAAGATCACAAAAAGAAAGATTATGAAAAAAAAAAAAAAAAAAAAAGAAAGATTATGAACATCACGTTGTGGGGGAGATTAAATATTTCTCAACAAAGAAATAAGTATTTTTTCAACAAAAAAAAGAAATTAATATTTGAACGTAGAAATATAGCAATGTTTCATATATATAATATTCGTAAATCGTTGATTTTTATGTGATTGGATGGATGATGAAGCAAAAGTTTTATATTCCGTTTAGTAGATAAATGAAAAATATCGTAAAGAAACCCTTGAGGCCTAAAAGATAATTAGGGTATAGACTAGTATTAACATGTTAATATATATGTCATGAAACTGAAATAAGAAATAGGGGAAAAGTGAGTCAAAGGGAGAGAAGGAGGTAGGTCTCTTGCCCTATAATATCTGCATTTACCCACCCATCATCTCCTATAGTAGATATTTATCACATCTATGTAGCAACCCTCCATTTTCCTTATAATTAATTTGTTACAAAAACATAATAAAAACAAGAAAAGAAAGAAGAGAAAAGGAAGAAGAAAAGATGATGTTGATGATGCAGATGAGTGACTAAAATGGAAACTTATGCTCTGAAATGGAAATATCCCTCAGTCCAAAGGTCTTTCCACCTTCTTCCTCCTCTTTTACCAACCATCAAGAGTGGAGCTCTAATATGTTTAGGTACCATCTTCAATCTCTCTAGATATACACATGCATATCACTTTCGAACCAATTTAGAAGGTGAAGTTCAACAGTATATAATTAAAAAGTATTTAGGATGAATGTTCATTGCTTGAACGCCATTTTATTATGTACAGTGGTCATGGTAAAGAGGTAAGTAAAGTAACCATCTTAATTTTTGTTGTGTTGACCGATATATCTTCACTAACTAGCTATAATAATTAATTAATTACATATGTATTATTTTGTACTGAAGAAAGGATATAATTTGTAATTGCCAAATGATAGAATTAGTATTTGCTAATTACAAAAATTTGTACAATCACGATATATACTATATATGGTCAACTTTTTTACTATATTCCACCATTCTACTATTACTTAATGTTATCAATTGTACTAGTTAGTATCATCCACTATATGTAATCATTCAAACCCTAAATTTGATGATCATGTAATGTATGTATGTATGAGTACATTATATTAGATATAAACTTATAAATGTGCATGTAAAGAATGGTAGATAGTAGTAGTAGTAGGTGTGTAAGGAGAAAGATCTAGGGGGCTTCAAAAAAAGGAGAGAAAAGGACAGAGCATGTGAAAAGAGACAGAGAAACAAACAGAGGAGTGAACAGTCTTACTCCTTTTTTTTTTTTTTTTTTCTATGCACTTAATGAACCCAACCCTCTCTGTATATTTCTGATTCTTCACATGTCTTCCTCTTCTTTTTTATTCCTAAAACTTTTTTTTTCAGTAAAAACTAATGCCGAAAAAAATAATTAATAAAAAAACGACAAAATATCTAACATTTTTTATAGAAAAAGGACAAAAGTACTTTCACTTCACTTGCAACCAAACAAACCTAGTCCCCTTCTTTATCCAATGGTCTCTCCCCTGCTCTCTATTTCTCATCTAAACACCCTTTTCTTTCATTCTTATTTACCATTTTGCCACCTTATGTAAAAAATGTTAAGAAAAAAATGTGAGAAGTAAAATCTCTTTTTTTCTATTGTCGTCAGAAACTGTGAAATCTAAATATTACTCTTTTTCAAGTCAGCAAAAAAGTTTGGTTTCTTCTTCCCGAGTCAGAGATTCGTGCCAGTGATGATACAAGAAGCTCATTCCGAATTCTTTTCATAAATACTCGTATTTCTCTTTTTTTACATCTATCTGTTTTTTTCTTGCATCTATCTGATTTTCCTCTGTCTTTAGACAGTAATAACAGAGCTCACTAAATGTGTAATAAACAAAAAATGAGCTCAATAAAAAGGTAAATGGCACTCATTTTTAGGCCATCAAGTGTTGGGATACAGCTGAAATTAAAAAGGCGTCAGCTTAAAGGAAAAAATAAAAAAGATTCCCAAAAATCAATGCACTTTTTTTATAAAAAAAAACACACAAATAATTACATATATATAGTTTCAAAATAAACGAATATAAAAAAATGAATAATATGAAGAAAGATTGAGAAGAGAGGAAAGAGTAGTCAGAGAGACAGGAGCATCAAGTGCTGCAGAAGAAGCAACAGGAACACTGGGCCTGAGTCTCTTCAGATTTGCCAGTCTTTATAGGACCACACTCTTCTTCTTCATCCCCTTACATACATTTTATATTTTTATCTATTTTAACATTTACAATATTGGATATTTTAATGTTGTTTTGATTTTACACTACATGGCAAAACTCCTTAAAAGCTCTTGTCATGATGTGATTCTTTTTTCTTCTATTTATTTTTTGTTTCTTTTTAACACTGTCTATATATCTCTCTCTTGAAATGTATAATGAAATGTTTTGTGATAGCTCTTTGATTTATTAACTCTTTGATTAACATTCCCCCAAAATAAACCCTACTAGAGTGTGACTAGCTAATATTTGTATACAGTAATCTCTATTCTGTAATAAAAAAAAATTTATCTTTCCTAAATACAAAAAAAGTGAGGTATATATATATAAAAGAGGGAGTGGCCTCGTGTAGAGGAAGAACCTAGCTAGTGTTCATGCAATTTGCATCTGAGGAATATATGCTTAGAAAGAGAAAGAGGGAGAGATATCAAACCAGAGGAAAAGAGTGACAGAGAAGGTGGTCATCTTTGTCTGTCTCTGTCCGAAACTCAGGAGCCCTAATCTCTGGATCCATCAAGAAAGCTCTTATCTTCCTTCTTTTATGTTTCTGATTTTGCTACATATATAAATAAACCCTCTGAGGAAAGCTAGAGAAGAAGATGATGAGTCTAAGTGGAAGTAGTGGGAGAACAATAGGAAGGCCTCCATTTACACCAACACAATGGGAAGAACTGGAACATCAAGCCCTAATCTACAAGTACATGGTCTCTGGTGTTCCTGTCCCACCTGAGCTCATCTTCTCCATTAGAAGAAGCTTGGACACTTCCTTGGTCTCTAGACTCCTTCCTCACCAATCCCGTAAGCCCTATAACTTTATTTTATTTATTTCATGTTTTTCTTGTTCTTGCATAAAGTTTCAATCTTTTGTTGATTCTCATGCCCAAAGTTTTCAGCTTTGTGTGTTTAAGAGTGATTCGGTTTCTTGGTTTCTTCTTAAAGCCTCTTGCTTTTTCTTTCAACGACCACTTTCAATAACTCAGTTACCACAGTTTTCTTTTGAGGATTTTGTAACTTAAGGTCCTAATTAATTAGGGTATTAAAGCAAAAAAGCATGATTAATTTTAGGGTTTTGTTTTAATTAAATGATGCAGTTGGATGGGGATGTTACCAGATGGGGTTTGGAAGAAAACCAGATCCAGAACCAGGAAGATGCAGAAGAACAGATGGTAAGAAATGGAGATGCTCAAGAGAAGCTTACCCAGATTCAAAGTACTGTGAAAAACACATGCACAGAGGAAGAAACCGTGCCAGAAAATCTCTTGATCAGAATCAGACAAGAACAACTCCTTTAACATCACCATCTCTCTCATTCCACAACAACAACAACCCAAGTCCCACCTTGTCTTCTTCTTCTTCATCTTCAACTACTTATTCTGCTTCTTCTTCTTCGATGGATGCCTACAGTAACAGTAATAGGTTTGGTGTTGGTGGAAGTAGTAGTCACACTAGAGGTTACTTTAACAGCCATTCTCTTGATTATCCTTATCCTTCTACTTCACCTAAACAACAACAACAACCTCTTCATCATGCTTCCGCTTTGTCACTTCATCAAAACACTACTTCTACTTCTCAGTTCAATGTCTTAGCCTCTCCTACTGACCACAAAGACTTCAGGTTCTTTCATCTTAATCTTTAATCTCCCGTGTTGATCTTTCATGGAAACTTTTATTTATGGAAATATTTTAATTCAGGTACTTTCAAGGAATTGGGGAGAGAGTTGGAGTTGGGGAGAGAACGTTTTTTCCGGAAGCATCTAGAAGCTTTCAAGATTCTCCATACCATCATCACCAACAACCGTTAACAACAGTGATGAATGATCCGTACCACCACTGTAGTACTGATCATAAGATTGATCATCATCATCACACATACTCATCCTCATCATCATCTCAACAACATCTTCATCATGATCAAGAGCATGATCATCGACAGCAACAGCAACAGTGTTTCGTTTTGGGCGCCGACATGTTCAACAAACCCACAAGAAGTGTCCTTACAAACTCATCAAGACAAGATCAAAATCAAGAAGAAGAGGAGAAAGATTCATCGGAGTCGTCGAAGAAGTCTCTTCACCATTTCTTCGGTGAGGACTGGGCACAGAACAAGAACAGCTCAGATTCTTGGCTTGACCTTTCTTCCCACCCAAGACTCGACACTGGTAATTAATTAATCTGCTGAAATAATCTTATGATCTATGCTAATTATTGATAGATTAACATTAATACAAATTCTCAGGTAGCTAATTAAGGAAAGCATCAATGATGGATCTGCACCAACACACACAACTGTGAAATGTTGAAGAAGAGTCAAATTTCACATCTATTTCCGTGGAAGGATGAGACAAGACACTGTTTGCAGAATCCTGTAATACATTTATGTATTTTCTATCGTTTTCTATGTGTGTTAGGTCCAACAAGAAAAAGTGATCCGACAGATATATATCTGTATGTGTTCTCTTGCTTTCTCAAGAAATCAGTTTTTATTTTACTGTCGCTGATAGCAACAAAAGAAAACATGACTTGATTTGTGAGGGGTATGGTTATATATATTGATTTGTTTCTTAGGATGCAAGCATATCTATATAGTTTCACACATAAATCTAGATTTTTTCTAGGGCCTGTTCTGATTAACTTATAAACTCTCATGCAAAGGAATAATAATAGACTAGGTTGCAAATTCTGTATGATGCAAAGTATACGATTATCCGCAATTAGTTAAAGTTATAAATGAAAACACAGACAGAGAATCAATTAGTATATCTAATTGACTGTATGTATATTGAAATTATCCGCAGGTTATGAAATGACGTTTCATAGGCCCAAGTCTTGAATCACGCATTGACAAAACGAGAGAAAGGTCAAAACTCAACAAAATATCGCAACAAATCCAACTTATTATTATGTAGAAACATAAATTTTATTGTCGTTTATAGAAAAACAAACAATCATATTCAACTTTTTGGTGTATGCTTCCTTCCATGCATGTGCTTCTTTAGCAAAAAGAAAGAGGAGAGTTAAAAGACAAAACATCATGACTCTTGATTAAGTTTATTAATCTGTTACGTGCGTATGTTTACTTAGAATCATTAGTCATTACCAACATTAATCTTATATTTTTAATATCTCATTATGTATAATATATTTATGCTGAGAATTTTAAAAGTATGTTGCCACCGAAGATTCTATGAACTGAATAAGGTCCAGATTTAAACCAGCTCATCTTTGGTCTTACCAAACAAAAACGCGTCCTAAACACTTTCATAGTTAGGAACAATAAGATCAATATTATCATTCTTCAACCATGTCAAACTATCCTAAGCAGACCGATTTTCATAAACCGAATCAGGTCATGAAACTTTCAGAACACAAGATATTTCCCAAACCGTATTCACTACTCTCTGATTAATCAGTGGCATCCTTCTCAAATATGTCCTACCACCAGTTCTATAAACCAAACCAGAGGCCGGTTTATCAATTCCCATCATCATACGAGGAGTCTTCCATAAAATGGGCACTTTGCAACATTGTTGCAGAACTAGAGATTTAAATAACCAAAAGTTTTACAGATAAAACACTAAAGATTCCGACATTTTCTGACTCCAAGAGCTATCAAACATGAAAGATTTCGACACTTTATGATTCCAAGAGCTATCAAACACGCAAGAATGACATTTTCTGATTCCAACAGCTAGTCTAAGCAGTTCCTATCTGACAATGTCTCAAACGTCAAAATCAAACCTAAGAGAACTGACAAAGAATCTTTTGTCTACGAAAAGCATAACATGAAGTATGAAACTTGATCTTCCTACCTTACTCTGCCTTGATTCTCACTATCATCACACAAACAAACCGAAAATATCGCAAACCATGCATAAACAGAGGATTTGTGTACAACCCTGAATCATTAAGAGAGGTAGAGAATGTAACAAGAATATTCAAAACACAAAATCACATTTGCCAGCAACTCACAAATGAAGTTAGATATCGGTTTCATCATCTCACAGAATCCCTAAAACAATATTACATGACTTGAGCCATGCTTTTTTTCTCTTCC